TCACTGAAGCTTAGACTCGTTTCTCCCTTATAATTTTGATATAAGGTATTTCGAGTGGGTACCATTATGGGCTTGCTGAGGAATTTGGTTATGTTCCATTCAGTTCCATTCAGATAGGTTGAATCTAAATGTTGAGCTTGAACGGCCTTAATTCCCTTTGTTCCAAATATTTCACATATTTCTTCACTGGTTACTTTATAATTGGTTGTGCCATTATGAGTTATTTGGCCAGTGAATCCTATGCAAACTAAAAGGTTTTTCTCTCCCTCAGCCATAGAATAGCCTTTAGTCATGATTCCTATTTTTAAAAATTGTTTAAAGGCTTTTATATCCATTTGGAAATTGGGAGTAAAATAAGCAAATCCCCCTTGTTCAGATAGGTCTATTTCGATAGATCCTATAAGGGATTGAATCATATCCTGATGTCTTGCGTCTAAAGGAGTTAAAAGGCATTTTGTACCTAAACCCTTTCTGTGAAGTGTTTTGACTCCTATAGTGATTAACCCTATGTGTACCAATGAATATTTCATTCTTTCGAGACTAAAATATCCATTTTCACTTAACAGTCTTAGGGTAACACTATCACTATCTTTGACACAGGATATTTGAACTTCCTGATAATGATGAAAGATTGATCCAGCACTAAACAGAGAGTTGGCATTTTCATAAAGATACTTGGGTTTGACCAAGTCAAATTTATGAGTTTTGAATCTTTTTATTTGTTCTTCAAGGTCTATTAAAGTTTCGACTTTTATAGATTCTTGAATTTGTTTTCCTTTGGAGAACATCCTAATCAAAGGGTTGCCTGTGATTTTAGATGATTCCATAATTTTTGGATTTTAAGGTAACACAACGTAATTTCTTGAGACTTTTAGTTCTTTAGCCTTTATGTGGGATAAAGACGAAAGACTGGATTTTATCTGTCTAAGATCTTCTTTTACGCTAATGATTCTTGCTACATCTATTATTTCACTTGCTTGCTGAATAAGATCTTGTTTTTTAGTCTCTTGACCTATTTCTGCAGTTCTTAAGTGAGTGTCTTTTAAAAGATCTTTTATATTCCTTATTTCACTTAAGATTTCTTCTTGGTTTTCAAGGATTCGTAGTAGCAAAATAATTTGGGTATTCTGCTGTCCTACTAATACTTGATCTTGGACTGCTAAGGGTTGAAAATTGGTTAATCCGTAGGGATTTCCTAATTTTCCTGCTTCTCCTAAAGCTTCTTTGTAGTCTGAATTTTGAGCAAAAGAAGTTTCACCCATTCAACCCAAGAATTAATCTTTGAAGTTTTTGGACCTGTTTAAACAACTCTTCTTGATTTTGGATCAAGGTGGCTGTTTGATGATAGAGGTTTTGAACAAATTGATCTGGTCCTTTGTTATTCAGAAATTGAGAATTAATTAAATTGACTTTGTTTTGACAAATTCAATTTGTTGTTGCAAGTAGTCTTGATTCTCAATTAGTTTCACAATATTTTTGTTGTAATGCTTTTCAAAGTTTTGGAACCTTTCGAGCACTACTTTTTCTTTTTCTTTTTGTTTTTTATAATTTTTTGAAAAATTTATAATTAGGTCTACAATACTATTTAATTGGCTATTATCAGAATGTAAATTATGGCTAAAACCTGGAAAACTACACACTATGTTATGATTATCTAAAGTTGCTTTTGGTTTTTTATAAGGTTTTGAATTGGTTGGTTTTAATTATTTTAACTTCTTAAGGTTATTTCTATGGATAGTAATATCAATAGTAACAGATAATAATATCAACAGTAACAAAAATAGTAATAGATAATAATATCAACAGTATTTATTTGACGTGGATAGACAAAGCAGATAAGTAAAGGATAGCTATACAAAAGAAAGCCAGATATTAACAAAAAGACAAAATAGTCCACAAATGTTGACCAAGTAGTAACTAAATAGTAACCAATTTTGACCAAGCAATTTCTTACAAAGAAGATTAAGTACGTAGATGGGAAAAGGTGGCAATTTACAAAATGTTGACTTTTAGCAAAATTATATGACTTTTAACACTAGTAGTCTGACACTAGAAGAAATTTTAGACAAGAAGATTTCTACTGCAATCTTAGATATGAAAGAAAACTATAAGACCAACACGATTGACACAAATTAATGCAAAGTTGATTTTTAACACCAACCAGATAGACTTTCGTAAAAGCAATATGTAGAATGTTAACAAATAATTTATAAGGCAAACTAGACAATGAAGATATAGTTGTCTTTGGCAAAAATATAGTTGTCTTTGGCAAAGAGTTTCGTTTGTAAGCTAGAATTTGTCCACTTTCTATATACCACATACCCATATGTAAATGAAAAAGCTCTGATACCATTATATATACCATTATACTCTTGATTTGGGTGACGACCTTCCCAATGATTACCCAGATGATCCAGAGGATATAGCCTTTTATGATGATCTTGACTCAGTTGGGTGCAAAAATCTCGAAAATCAAATGGAGGGATAATAAGTCAGACAAAGGAACAGGCATGCCTCACTCCAAAGTGATTGTCATGAGACATGTTCCGCAAAAGCCGGTTACTTTTTATCTTTCCCAAAAGATAAAGATGACCGACTTCAGTTACCTCTGTAAATAACCTTAGGGTTAGTTAACCATAGTTAGTTTTATGTAACTAGGGTTACTTTTACTGCAGTTACTTTGTAACCCAGGTTAGTTTTTCTTTCTTTAAATATGCCTTCTTAGAAGTAGAAGTCACGGTTTGAAAAATTAAAAGAAAGAAAGTAGTAGGAAGTAGAGAGAGTCTACTCAAAGGTTGACTCAGCTACTCAAATCCTTTGTAATCTGCACTCTTTCAAGTATCTATAAAATATATTTCCAGTTAATTTCTTTAATGAGTTATTTAGTTTAAACACAAATCTTTGGCAAAGAGAATAGTTTGTAACTTTTGTTTGTCTCATTATTCTATATTCATATACTTATATATAGATGAAGGATTCCTGTTTCAGGCTGTTTTCGACTTCTTTCACAAAGATCTTTAAAAATGGAAAGATAATTGTTTTTCTTGACCTACACTACTGTGGAGAGTAAGAAAGTTAAACCTTAATAACCTGGTAGAGGAGAAATTCTTTACTACCTAGCCCTACTGGAGAGTATCTTGTTAAAGCCGAGGATGGCGTTTTAGGAGAAATCACCAGGGATTTGGAAATCAAGTTTCTTGATTGGGTTGGTCACCAGCCCTCAAACAAATCAAGAGTTAAAAATCAGCCCTTAACTGACGGTGGCCGTTAGTCTTCGTCAGTCAATGCCATTGAAATAGGTTAATTTCCATATGGTCCCTTGAATTTCTAATTTTCAAAATAAAAGTTACTTGAACTTTGTACTCCCCCCCTTTAACTTTTACAGGCTTCATTTTTTCGTCCAATAAAAAAAAGTAGTGTTTTCCTCATTCAATTTTAGTAAATCTTTTTTTTTTTTTTTGTCCATAAGGGATGTAATAATTAATTGATAAAATTTCATATTTATATCCCTAACTAATCACAACTTAAATAAGTTTTCTTATTTAATATAGGTTGTAATTGTCTATGAAAATAAAACAAAAATAAAGCCGTGCAATAGTATTTTAAAAAGAAAAAGTAGATAACTAAATTTAAATGTCATCTTTGTCATTTTTCTATTTAAGGATATTTAAGGATGCTAATTTTGTGTTTGTAATGTTAGCAACATCATCTAAATAATTTTTAAATAGAAAAAAAATACAAAATTGGCATTTTTAAATGAGAAAAATTAATAATTCATTGCCTTTCTTAGGAATCAATGAAAATTGCATTTTTAAATAGAAAAAACTGTAAAGTTGACATCCTTATTTGTGCCTTTTCTCCTCAACTTTGGTTATCTGGAGCCACTTAATAACTTTTCTATCAACTTTTTTTGTATTAATTTCTTATTAAATACAGAAAAGTTAACAATCTACAAAATTCTAATGAAACTTTACTACAAAACACATTAACTTTCCCCATATGTTTCAAAACTTTCTCCCTTATAAGCTTATTTATGTATTTCTACAAATTAATTCTAAAAAAAAAGGAGGCTAAAAATTGGCATTTTAGCTTTTATTTTTCCTAATGCAATTCCTAATTCTTAAACTTTTTTTCCATGCTATTTGAAAGGAAAATGTTTTTCCCTAACTTTTAACATAATGAGTAAATAAAAATGAACTTTATAATTTTTTTATTTAAAAATGTAAATTTTGTTGATTTTTAATTAAGCAATAAATTTTTAACTTTTTTTTTATTTAAATATTTCAACTTTGTCTTTGTTTTTCATTTAAAGAAGCCAATTCTAAATTTATCATATCAACATCATCATCTAATTAATTCTTAAACAAAAAAAACTCAAAATTGGCATCATTAAATAGACTAAGTTAAAAATTTACATCTTTAATTAGAGATTGACAAATTTTACATCTTTAAATAAAAAAAATTACAAAATCAGCATCATTATTTCTATATTTTCTCCTTACCTTTGATTATGTAGGACCCATTTGATAATTTTTTATCAACTTTTTTTATACTAATTTTTTACCAAATAAATAAAAATTAATAACCCAATAAAATTTTATTATAAAATTTACCAAATTTTTTATAGTACTTTACTTATCACTTTCTCAATAGAAATGTTTATAATAAAATTGGTCATCTCGCCAAACATTCTTGAAGGAAGTAAAGTGCCAGACCAGATCACGTGCCATCGAAGGTAAATTATTGGCTGGCAGGCTGGGCATCAGCCAAAATTTCCTTTTTATAAAAAATAAAAATAAATAAATAATAATAATAATAATAAGGGAAACAAATCAAGAAGAGAGGGACTTCTCTAGAAGTCTAATTTGCAACATGGACCTTCATTCAATACGGCCACAGCGTGGAAGAAGGTCAGCCGGCCTAGTGGCCAGCAACTTAACATGAGCCTTCTTTGTAATGACAAGGGTCCGATTTCCCTCCTTACCTCCTCCCGCACCACTTGCCTTCGTTAAAAAAAAAAAAAAAAATGGCCACAGCGTGACTCCTTAATTTCTGACTTCAAATCGCCTTACGCACCATTTTAACTGATTTTCTATCATCTCCGGCGTATTTCTACTTAGGCCCCTTTAACCAGTTCTAACAGGCTTTTAAGCCCCAGTCTACACTTTTAT